AAGTATGGTGGAATTTTTTACCCCGAGTATAAACGTTGAAGGCATTCCTTCTGAGGTTACTTGTCTTCATCCGAACTTCGAGTACTGATGTTATAGGTTCTAACGAATGTTGGACTGCTCACTATGAAGTTGGAGTCTGTCGAGGGGGATAAGAGGGAACATATTGTTGATATCAATATGGTCATTTTCAGCTCAATTATTCATACCACACTTCTTTCGAATCGTAGGTCACTCAAGTGTCCTTCCTCAACGGCCATCACGTCCGAACCATCTTCGACCCCACTCAGTGACGTAAATATTGAGGTCGTTGTTGCGTTGAGGAAATGCAAGTGGGAGCAAGATTGCAAGATTTGGAAAAACGCGTCTCGTTGACCACGGTGACATTGGTGAATTTTTTCTATTGATTTTAGTGCCGCTTTTGAATTCACGTTGTACCATGCGGCGGCATTCCTTGAGGTCTTCTATTAATAGGCCTCGGAAAAATTCAAATCAAACCGGCGGAGCGATGCAGACGAGGAAAGGCCTCACTAGTGGTGGTGGTTCTTCGCGCGATACCAAAAAAGTGGGAGAAAATTCTTCAGAGTCGAGTTCGGTCCAGTGGACGGCTGAGATGGAATCTCCAGAGGCGTTGAGCTCTTACTATGTTCGGGAAGTTTGGGCGAACGACGTCGAGCATGAGTTGCGGTTGATGGAAAAATTAGTTGAAAATTATCCCTACATTGCTGTTGATGGGCGGTTTCCTGGGGTGGTAGCCAGGCCCACTGGTAGTAATAGTGTAGTGGGGAAAATATAAATTTTCGTGTACTTGTGTAATTTTCAGGTCCTTTCAAAAACGACATGGAGCGAAATTACGAAATTATTCGAACTAATATGGGCCTTGTGAAAATACTACAGTTGAGTTTGTCCTTTGCAAATAAGGATGGTGAAGTGGCTGGCCACCCTGAGGACGTTCGGACTGGGAATATGCGCAGTCAGCGACCTCCTGGCTGTGTTTGGAAAATTAATTTTCATTTCGATGTGCGAAGAGATATGTATTGTCCCGAGGCGTTAGATCGATTAAGACTACCTCTAACGCGAGGTGGTGGTGGTATTGATTTCAAAGAACATTTCAGAAGGGTGTTAGTGTTGAAACATTCTCAGAG